CTGTTTTATAAATGTAAGAAATTGGGGATCTTTAGGGAGAAAAGGACAGTCCCTTTTACAGTTAGCTCTATATTTGGTGTTTTCCAGTCTCTCCAATTTCTCAGTGTTTGTATCATAAATCCTCATTCAGTCAACACGTACAATAGCAGCAGCAGTGACACCATGATGTACTGTACCAGCCACATCAGCTAGACTTCAGTTGTACAATTTATTTCTAGGGCTAAAAGACAAAATGTGAAGGGAAGATGGTGCGTTTATAAATTGTTGCACATTAACCTTTTGGTCACAAAAGTAGTAATTCCCGTACCAAATATATGGAAAAGGCTAGTCTGTGTAGGATAAAGACCTTCCCACTCTGTACGTACGTACAGTATGTTATGATTCACGTGGGGAGCTGCAAAGCAGCAAGCAGAGGTTAATTTCACTCTGAAAAGTAAAAAAAAATGAAAAGCTGAGAGAGTTCACCTTCAGAAGGCTCAAAAGCCAAAACTTTTTGTTCTACATTTCAGCCTGGAATTAACCTGTAAAATGATAACACAAATTATTTTAATAGAATAAGTTATATTTTTATGATGTTCTAAAAAAGAAATTGAATCCAGACTCCTTTGCATGTTTTTTTGTTGAAATTTAAATATTTAACTCTGAAGGACTGTAACAATATGCACTGGTAGACAGCATTTTCCTAGACTGATTGAAAGTCTATCTGTCAAAGATAGTGAGGGCAATTTTCATTCATCACTGGGAAGCCTGTTGAACTTCCCGTATCCAGTTCTGCTTGGTTTTGCACTACAAAGCTTTATGGTCCGATGCTTAAACATTCAGTTTTGCTCTGACTCTCTCTGTTCCCCTGTTGGTTTACTGTGTGTCTCTCCTTGTGAAGCTGGTGACGTACAGTAGTTCCCAGGCTGCTGGGCTGAGGAGATGGCGGAGAGAGCCAGCAGTGGAAACCACTCTTATCCAGGCTAGGTCCAGACTGTCGGTACACATGCTAATGTTGTGCACGAGTCACGAGTAGGAGTTCCTACCCAGGTGCCTCCTGGGAGGAGCCCTGTCCAGAATTGGGTGTCGCTTACTTGGGGATCCCCCCCTCTCTCTGCAGAACGGCCACCCCGAGCGTCTGGAGTGCGGGCTGGAGGTGGGGGGCAGCCCGGTCCTGCTGGAGCTGGAGAAGAACCGGTAAGAACGGCACTGCCCCTGGGACAGCTGGGAAGGTCTGACTGAACCCGGATCTCCGAGAGAGAGGAGAGGGCAGGAGGGGGAGGAAAACCGGAGCAGAGTGGAACTGAGAGAGAAGTGGAGAGGGCGGACAGAAAGATGGAGAAGCAGTTTGAAGGGAGCAGGAGAAGGATGTCTAAATATGAAATAGTAGATGAACATAAGAGCAGTCTGAAGACGTGGGGGGGGGGGGGGCATTCAGCCAGTCTTGCTTATTTGGTAGTTAAGTAGCCTAGTGAATCTAAAAAATTATCCAGCCTTTTCTTTAATGTGCGTTAATGAGTTTGGGCCTCAGCCACCTGGCTGGTGAACCTGTTCTAGACACCCACTACTCTTTCTGTAAAGAAATGTTTCCTGTTCTCTGTCCTAAGTGAATTCCCCTTAGGTTTCCAGTTTTGACCAGACCCCTTGCAATTTTGTAAACCCGGATTAAATCTCTTGGTCTCCTCTCTCCCTACCTGAACAGATCGATCCCATTCAACATGTTCCATCCAGTTTGTTCCCTGCCTGGAGCCCATTGTTTACCAGGATAGGCTGAGGCTCCCCCACAACCCTAAATTGGAAGAGGCGGTTAGATCATGGACAGACGTCTTCTGTATCCTAGCAGAACCACCTCTGTGATGTGCAGAAGTTATGTCCCTACTTTTGATGTGGACCACTGTCCACCCATC